AGCACCACGGCCGACCGCCTTTGTCTCTCTAGTGGCGATGTTTTACACACCGCACCAGGTACTCATTTAAGGCTGAGTCGACCTCGGGAAGGCCCAGGACTGGCTCAGATAATCGTCACTGGTGTTTGGCGTGAGCGGGAATCGAACTCGGGTCACGCCAGATTCGTAGCGCAGTAACTGCTACATTACCGCTCTCTCCCAACAGACAGAAAGACGCACACACGCCTGTACATAGCGTGCGCCCCCGAGTGTCCGCGTAGGCCCCTCACCAGCACGTGCTCGTAGCTGCCTGCGTCGCTGGTGAGGAAGGCGAAGGCGGCGCGGAGGTACGGGTTGGAGAGCTGCAGACGCAATGCGGCGCACATCTCCCTCCAGAGGGACGCGCGCTCTGCCGAGTAGCCCGACAGCGCCATGGCCACCACGTTCAGGTTCACGTCGCCTGTGGTGGTGGTGGCGCCAGGGGTCAACGCGGGGGTCACAGGTGAGGTTAACAAGGGGGTCGATATAGGGTCACGCTCCCCCTTCCCTCACCCCAGACTACCTGTCCCAGAGAACCTGGAGAGAAAATCTACGCAATCGCGGGCAGAGAGACACACGAACTCCAAAGGGTCGGGATCGAAACCATAGCCCCTCCCGCATACCAGTCGAGGTAGTTAACATCTCGCCACCATGGAGTCCGCTGCCAACAATGGGCATCTAAATGTCGATGTAAAGCTTTCGTGACTGCAGGGATTCATCTTCTTGGTTCTTTCGGTAAAGTCACGTAGAAGGGAAATAATAAAAATAAAATAATTCTCACGACGTTTCGGCTACAACGTAAGCAGCCGTCCTCAGGTGCTTGCATTGTAGCCGAAACGTCGTGAGAATTATTTTATTATGTTTTATTTTTATTATTTTATTATTTCCCTTCTACGTGACTTTACCGAAAGAACCAAGAAAATGGGCATCTAGCTCCTGATACCCGTGCCGCTGCTGCCGGCACCACCGTCACGCGCACGAAAGAGTAGGACTCCCGCTTCACCTCGGCGTGTTCGCGCTCCCCGCTCCCGCTCACCGCTCCCGCTCCCCGCTCCCCGCTCACCGCTTGCGCAGGCCGCCCCCTGCTGCAAGATGTCGATGGCGGCGCGCATGCGCAGGTGGAAGAGCGCCATCGCGGCGCGGCGCTCCCACTCCTCGTCCGGCTCCAGCGCCGAGCGCAGTGGCGGCCGCTCCTGAGCGGGGCCCGGCGCGGGTCCCGGAGAGGGTCGCGACGGCGCCGCGGCGGACGTGACGGTGGAGGCCTCGTCGCCCCCCTGGTCATCGCGCTCGTCCCCGGCGAGCGCCGGGGGCCCCGTCCACCCGCAGAGGCGAAGCGCCAAGCGGCGTTCCGCGCTGTCGAAAGTGTAGACCTCGAGGCGGCGCTCGGGGTCCGAGCACGACAAGCGCAGGCTCTCCGGCTTCCCTGCGACACGCGCAAATACAAAGATTCCCCCATGTAGCCTGTAACAGACTGTTGGGGCAAGTGCCGTTAGGCCAGCACGGCACACGAGGGGTGGGTGGCCGGCACCACGCCCTGCTGCCTTGGTCTCGCGAGTGGCGATGTTTACACACCGTACCAGTCGACCTAGGGTAGGCCTAAGACTGGTTCAGATAATCATCACAGGTGTTAGCCCGGAGCAGGAATCGTACTCGGATCGCCGGGTTCGTAGCACAGCGAGCTCACCACCATACACGCACAGCACACACACACAGCACACACAAATCACTCGCACATCACATCGGCAGGAGTTTAGACCGGGCCGGCATTAAACTCATCGCGCAGCACCCCTGTGTGAGCATGCGCGGTCACGGTACGGGTGAGGGTTGGAGCTCACCGGGATCTGGCCGCACGATGGCCTTGATGCCCTGGTAGACGGCGGGCAGTTGGCTGCCGGGCTTGTCCTCCTGCTCCTGCACATAGCGCTTCATGAGTGTCTCCCGTCAAGGACGATGAACACGACGGACGCCGATGATGCTGCGTCCCTACGGCAGCAAGAGCCGTGGGGGACGCGACCGATGGCTACGGGGTGGGTGGGAGGAGGTGGGATTCGCAAACCGCGAGTTGTGCTTGCCGGTGAGCCGACGATCGCCGCACCGCGGGTTGAACCGTGTGCCATTGGGCAAGGTGTCCGATGTTTCGCTCCATGCTCCCAATAGCAGCAGCGGCAGCACGTGGTACACGGAGTGAAACGTAAATGCATCGGAGGGGAGTCGTACGAGGGGGGGGGGGTGTCATCCATGAAAGAACCTACGCAGAATTTAACGACTCGTCAATTTGTATTAACTCTTACACTCGTGATGAATGCAGAGCCGTGCAGGTAAGGTTCTAAGACTATTTAAACTAATTTTTATTTTACCAGGTAAGGTTCACTGAACTATGTGGCTCTTTTTCAGAAGCGACCTGGCCTATCACAAATTACAGCTCAATGAAGTGGCTTATCACGTGGAAATGTATAACAGCCCAATACTCTGAACGCGTGTTGATTCTAAATGTGGAGGGGAAACACTGGAGGACCCGGAGAAAAATCCACGCGACCTTGGGAGAACACGCAAACTCCAAACATACAAGCATCAGGGTCCAAATCAAACCCACGACCTCCTGTATATGAGGCGAGGGAGTCAACATCTCACCACCGTGGCGCTCAGGTTCAATAATTTACGACTCGGACAATTTACGAGCAACATGACACCTGCCGCCAAAGTATCAAATCAAAGTGATTCCTCTGCTCACGTGAGCATTGCGGCATCAGCGCTCATCCAATACACAGCTCTGCAGAGCCAGTGGCGAACATTACCCATTCCTATTCTTAGGTTTTTTTTTGGGTAAAGTCACGTAGATTAAAAAAAAAATTAATAAAAGTAAAATAAAATAAAAATCACGACGTTTCGGAGGCAACACAAGCTTCCGTCTTCAGGTGGAAACGTCACAGCACGATAGCTGTATCAAGTAAGAGAAATTCCAAGCGACCCGTCCTTGTATATATACTGGTTGAGGGTGGAAGGAGCCAAGGCAGGCCCTGGATCGGAGTTTTGTATTATAATTGTGAGGTTGGTGCGGCTGAAGCCGCTGCTAGGAATGAGCCTTTGTTGTGTAGACTGGTTGAACTGGGAGGTGCCAGAGTTGTTAAGGTGCGGCTGATGTAAAGGTGCGGCTGCTGTCTTACTTGATACAGCAATCGTGCTGTGACGGTTCCACCTGAAGACGGAAGCTTGTGTTGCCTCCGAAACGTCGTGAGAATTATTTTATTTTACTTTTATTAATTTTTTTTTACCTACGTGACTTTACCGAAAAAACCTAAGAATATAAATCATTGCAGTCACGAAAGCTTCAAATATAGAATTACCCATTCCTATTGTGGGGCGCTATGAGTCTCCTTAGTGGACCACCACTGTTGACAATGTGATACTCATTATATCAACCAATATTCGGATGCCACTGGGATCTATGCACTTTTAAATCTGGATTGAAAGCTAATTTCTTTAGAACTGCTTTTTGTATTTAGTTTGTTTGTCCTTACCCCGCACCTCCGATTAACACAGTCGGCTACGTACGGTGCAACAGAAATGCAACATACATACAACCAATTCATCTGCACGTAAAAGTCATATCTTTGCAAAGGTTGCAATCAATCCATGTGGTGCATGGTTAGGGATGGTAATTTTGGCATTAAACTATTTACCACGCGGCCCAAACCTCAACACAAATACCACGCAAAAGTATCGGCTACCAAAACCTACGTTCTAAGCTATCGGCGTGCTCATGGTCTGCGGAACCCCTGGTGATCCGCACAGCCGGAGGGGTGGAGGCGGTCCACACAGCCACTGCAGAGACCAATTATTTTCACCTAAAGCCACATTTTCATTCACTGTGTGGTGGCGGTCCATGGGCCCAGAGAGGTTGTGCACCCCTGTGCTACCCCATACCGCTCATCCCCTTCCTTCCCGTGAAGCTCGCAGCCGTTTGAGCGATCGGCGATCGGTAAGGGAGCAGCGAGCGAGCGAACGAGCGAGCGGGCTTTTTGCTTCCCGCGGCCTCTGCGCCAAAAAGGATATAGTGTAGCGTGTACCACAGCGACTTGAGCTGCGGGTCGTCGTCCATGGCCAGCACGTGGTTAGTCCACACAAGCTCCGTCTCCACGCCATAGCGGTTCAGCGCGCGCCGCTTCATCTTCGCCGAGATGTCCTGCTCTGCGGCCTGCCCGGCCCCCGCAGGGCTCTCGGCGCAGTTGTAGAGCTGGCGGCCGCAGGCCCACACAAGCGAGGCGGCGGGCACCAGTCCAGCGCGATGCGCTCGAACACCGTGAAGTCGACAAGCGCGCGCGACTGGCTGAGCGCCAGCATGCCGTTCTGCGACGTGGGCACCCACGCGAACGAGGCCACGGCGCCGTCGCACGGCTGCACGCTGCGCTCGATGATGGGCGGCTCCGCCTCGTCCCCCAGCGCGCCGGGCGCCGTGTGCTGCATGTCGTAGAGCCGCACGACGCCGCTGTCGCGCGCCAGCGTCGCCAGCAGCCCCGTGCGCGTCGGGCACCACGCTACCTTGCTCAGCTGGCGCGACGGCTCGTTGAGCGTGAGCACCGGCTTGTCGGGCACGCGCAGGTCCCACACGGCCACCTGGCCCTCGAAGAACGACGCAAAGCGGTCGGGGAAGTGCGGGTCGAAGGTCACGCCCTGCACCGCCTTGGTGTTGGCAAACAGCTTCTTCTGCGTCGTGTCGCGCAGGTCGTAGGTCACCAGGTTGCGCTGCATCCCCGCCAGCAGCAGGCGGGCGTCCCGGGGCAGCCACGCCAGCGAGAGGCAAGCGTCGTTCTGCCCGAATTCGCACACGGGCTTCGTCACCACCATGTTCGTCTCGGCCTCGCCAGACAGCAGCAGCCGCCCGCGCTCCATGATGGCGGCGGCCGAGGCGCCCTCGGAGGCCGTGAACTTGGCGTTGACGTCCCACACCAGCGCGGAGAAGTCCGCGCGGTGCTTGTCGAGGCCGGCGCCCAGCAGGCTGCGGTCGTGCGGGTTCCACGCCAGCGCGTTGCACTGCCGCGCGTGCTTCGGCACAAACTCCTTGCCCACGAGCTCCTTGTGGCGAGCCAGGCCGTCCTGGCCCAGGCTCGTCAGCACGACGCGCCCGTTGGCTTGACCCACCGCCAGGAGGCACTCGGACTTCTGCCAGGGGCACCAGGCCATGCACTTCATGTAGGGAGTCTCCGAGTTGACGTCGAGGAGGGTGGCGGTCGAATCCTCTGACAGGCGGTGGCTGCCATCGCGCGCCTCCCCGCCGCCGCCACGCGCCGCGTCCACGCGGTACAGCGAGATTTCTGAGTCGCAGATCACGAAGCGGTTGCCGTTTTGCGGGCACCACACCACGTCTGGCCGGGAGCCGCTCATGGCGGCGGGCGGTTCACGACCGGGGTCCCCCGCCGCCTCCTGGGCCCGGGCACCGGCCTATTCACGGGCGAAATCCGTGGGGCCGTCTGTCGCGACACCGCAGCCGAGCGGCGACCCGGCGTTACGACCAAGATGCAGAGACTCCTGCTCCACCGAGCCTGGCCAAGACAATGATGGAGATTACACATTACTACTGAATCATCATTACTACTGAATCATCATTTACACCATGAGACCTCCTTTACCAGTGGCAAAATATAGTAGTAGGTTTTTACCCTTTAAACTGGTACATGGTGTCAGTCGTTGTACCAGTTTAAAGGGTAAAAACCTACTACTACAGAATCATCATATTTATTTATGCTGGAGAAAGCCATTGCACTATGAAGCCTTTTTTCACAGATGTCCAGTAAGGGTGGCTCAGAAAGTTATAACGTGGATGTGGATGCTAGCAGACCAGCAATATTACGATGTTGCTCACCGGAAATGTCGTTAAAAATCCCTGGCTGACTGATGGGGCTCAACAATAAAATCAGCCTTATTTTTAAACAATGATGCTTTACAGCAATGTTTTATGCTAAGCCCATGGTGTCAAGAGAGGGCTCCAGCCAATAACTTGTGGCAAACCAGCAAATGTTAAAACGCCTGACTGTACTGATGAGACCCAGAAGAGAGAAACCAGCGCGCAAAGATTGACTCCTTAATTAACACAAGTCTTGGGAAGGCCAAGACGATAATGAAATAAATATATGGGGTATATTTTTCAATCCATTGTTGTCCTGTACGTCTAAGCTCCGTCTATGCTCCCCCACGCCATCACCAACCGTACCAACCACCACCGTGGTGAAGTACGGTCACATAATTAATGTGACCTGGATGGCATTGTAGTGACATAAGAAGGGAGGGGCTGCTGGGGGCTCTGGGACCCTGGGCGGGCCAGGCGCTTGGGCCCCTTGGCGCCAGGCGTGGGTTCCCAGGCGAGTCAGACGCTTAAGCCTCTTGGCGCCAGGCGTTGGGTTCCCAGGTGCTTAAGCCCCTTGGCACCGCCAAAGGGGGGGGGTGTGTGCTCTGTGGGATATCTGGGGGCGCACACGGCCCCACCCCTCGTTGGGGACTGGGCATAAAAGGGGAGCTCCCTGGCCGATCAGGGCCAGTCGTAGCTCAAGACCCAAGACCAGCCATCTGAGACCCTGGACGCTGTGAGAGCCAGTGGTGGGACTCTGGAACTCCCGACTCTACGACCTTGTGAGGGCGAGTTCCAGAGTGTAGCCAGAGTAGAGTATCTAGGCTGTGTATCTAGGCTGTGTACCTAGGCTGTGTACCTGGGAGTTGTTACAGAGTATCAGGACTGTTGGACTGTTGGAGTGTAATAAAGAAGTTACCTCTACAAGTGTCTCCGGAACCCGTTACATCATGACACCACTGGTTCTGTGGTGTCCACCTGTGCTTGCTTTGTATATTAATTAATAACCGCAACATACCAGTGGGTGAATATTTAAACAGGGGCCACACATTAACATTCGCACCTCGGTCAATTTTGTTTCTACTCTGTTCTTGCGTATGGTAGCAATATGTACAGGAGCTAAACGCCAATGTCAAGGTCTCACAGGCACGACTAGAGGGCTTAAGGGAGAGAGTTTGTGTATAGTTTCACTATTACTCTTTGGTTCTTTCATTAAAATCACGTAGAAAGATAAAATAATCAAGTAAATAATAGCATACGACGTTTCGATTGCAGCACAAGCAATCATCATCAGGTACAAATGAAAGAGAAAACAAAACCTAGAAATATAATGCAATACAACACAGATAGTCGGTTAACGCATGGCCTGGTTGATTACGTTCTTCCAAGGATTACTAAATTAGAAGTTAAGTGTGAAATTTGAGCGAGAGACAAAACACAGACACGGAGACACAAAGACAGACACACGGGCAGAGAGAGACACAACACAGACACACAGAGAGAGAGAGAAAACAAACATAAAACCACAGTGCTTTAGTTCACTGCACAATCCATAGTTGGGGTTGCATGGCCACAACCGCAATGGGGGTCTTTCATGTTCCGTTCACAAAGGTGATGTTACTACGCATCGGCCTAATGATGCTCCGAGACAGTCACTTCCGTCACTTAAAGCGACCAGTGAACCAGAATTAGGCACCATTGCTTACAGGTCAAACCTATAACCCCTCCTCCCGCCCGGATTAGTGCAGCTAAGATGCTTGCAGGGTAGGTGACATCGTGATCCACCAGAGGCGCACGGTTCGAATCCAGCAGCCGCCCTAATTAATATGCGACGTTTCACCATATTGACACATTCCGTCTGCTTCATTCACAGTAGATGTTTAAAGCTGCCCCCCCCCCCCCCCAAACATAATTCGCAAGTTCTAGATTTGAAGCTTTCGTGACTGCAAGGATTCATATTCTTAGGTTTTTTCGGTAAAGTCACGTAGGAAAAACATTAAAATTAATTAAAATTAAAATAAAATAAAAATCACGACGTTTTGGAGGCAACACAAGCTTCCGTCTTCAGGTGGAACCGTCACAAAGGCTCATCCTCTTAAGCCTCACTTTACCATATTAATAAAAAGTGTGCTGCACTTGGCCCTCACCCCCCCCCTTCTCCAACCATTATATATACGGAGTGGTAGCTCTTGCAATCTCTCATTTACTTGATACAGCTGTCGTGGCTGTGACGGTTCCACCTGAAGACGGAAGCTTGTGTTGCCTCCGAAACGTCGTGATTTTTATTTTATTTTACTTTTATTAATTTTAATGTTTTACCTACGTGACTTTACCGAAAAAACCTAAGAATATAATTCGCAAGCGTAGGCCATCGTGTGATGGCATTTCAAATTTGTCACGTTCGGAATTGTCACACGCAAATCAACTACATTTGGATTACACACACACACTAACAACACAGCTGCAATTACGCCTGCCCACACCACTCCCCCCGGAATGGCAGACTAATGCCACGGGTGATTCCTGCAAACCAGACTCATCCTGGCTGGCCTCTTTCCGAGTTCGCACACCTAGCGAGACAAAATACATTTGAGAACTGGCACTCGGATTACGATAGTCGGATAACGAGGAATCGGTCTCGTGTGACGAACGGGCCGCGTAAAACTAAATGTACTGCAGCCGAATACTCTAAACGCACGATTCTAAATGTGGATGGAAAATCCGGAGGACCTGGAGACAAATCCAAGCGTGCACAGGAAGAGAGAGACACGCAACTCCAAATATACAGCAGGCGTCAGGGTCGGGATGGAATCCACGATCTCCTGTATACCAGGCGAGGTAGTTAACATCTCCTAGCCACCGTCATGATGAGAGATAGAGACACGCAAACTCCAAATATACAGTAGGCGTCAGGTTCGGGATGGAATCCACGATCTCCTGTATACCAGGCGAGGTAGTTAACATCTAGCCACCGTGATGATGATGAGATAGAGACACAAACTCCAAATACACAGCAAGCGTCAAGGTCGGGATGGAATCCACGATCTCCTGTATACCAGGCGAGGTAGTTAACATCTCCTAGCCACCGTGATGATGAGAGATAGAGAGACACACAAACTCCAAATACACAGCAGGCGTCAGGGTCGCGATGGAATCCACGATCTCCTGTACACCAGGCGAGGTAGTTAACATCTCCTAGCCACCGTGATGATGATGAGATAGAGAGACACAAAAACTCCAAATACACAGGGAGGCTTCAGGGTCGGGATGGAATTCACGATCTCCTGTATACCAGGCGAGGTAGTTAACATCTCCTAGCCACCGCGGCGCCCTGAGCACGCTACGAAGATCAGCTGTGGTGGGATGTATCATTGGTTCTACCGGTAAACCGGTAACCGTTTGCAATAGAATATCAGTAGCGGCACGTCTGCCCTCTCGTTTCTGTAGCGTTCGCGAGGGTGGGGAACCTTTTTTGAATATTTCTAACATCATTCGCGGGGCCATACAAAATTATCAACTTAAAAATTATCCTGTGAAATTTGGTCAAACATTTAAACAGGACCGTGCGGGGTGGGCTGGTAGGAATAATAGTTAGTACCGGTACAGAGATATCGACCGGGTATAGAGGAGTTAAAGAAAAAATACTGTATTCTAGTGTAACGTTAATTAAAAGTGTTTGTTTTGACAAGAAACGCTGTGAGATTTAAAGACTCGTAGTCTTTCATTTCCAACACCACCCTCAACACCACCCCTCCACGGACGGACGGACGGACGGACACATTAATCTATTGGTGGTCTGGTCCACTTCGTTCCTACCAGTACTAACTCACCCCTAATGCGATGGCTGGAACTGCTTCTCTTTGGCGAGGCGTGTGATGATGTTAGCTGCTGGTATTGATGATGTTGCTGCTGCTACTCGCAACTGCTTTTCCAGGTTTGAAGCTTTCGTGACTGCAAGGATTCATACTCTTAGTTCTTTCGGTAAAGTCACGTGGGTAGAAAAAAATTTAAAATTAATAAAAAAAATATTTTTATTTAAAATTAATTTTAAACAAATTACGTGACTTTAACGAAAGAACTAAGAGTATGTTTTTCCAGGTTTGCTCCTAGATTTATTGAATTTCGAGTCCCTGCCTGCGGTTGCCTTGGCAGGGCCAGACCCAAATGATTTCGTGGGCCTCATACGGCCCGCGGGCCGGACGTTCTCCCAGCCCCCTGGGCGAGAGGGATGTTGTATGTGTTGGTCTCCTCTTTCCACGTTCACGAGACGTCTTGCAAAGAGGCTCGTCGTACCCACACTTTACCCCACCAAATATGCCTAATACAGGGATGGTAGTGTCGGTGAAAAAGGCGTAAACGTGTCGCGTGTATCGCTCATTTCAGCCGCGTGGCAAACCGATGACCGGTTGTGTTTTTTTTTGGTTATCGGTGTTGACACAACAACAACAAACAACAACAACAACAACAAACCCGCCGATTGTTTCCTTAAACCACACGGGGCACGCACCGGAGCCTTCTCCTCGCCTGGAGCCGCACGCGA